TAATCCTCATGTCTTTGAAGTAGGTATTTTTAATAACACCACTTCACAAGAAAGTAAGCTTGGAGAGGTTAAGTAACTTGCTCACAGTGACCCAAACTATCGGGAAGGAGCAAAATTCCCACCAGCCACTTCAACTGCAGAGCTGCTGACTCACGCCTCGAGTTCCACTGCACAGTATTTTTGTGCCTTCTTTGAATAAATGAATATGAAACATCTTCATGTGCTGGGAACTGGACATAGAGAGCTAAGTCTTGTATCTGCTGACAAAGAGCTTCCAGCCCATAGATAAGTAAACAATCATAATGCGACAGGATTGTTGTTACTGCGATCAATTATAAGATGCTGAGTATACACTTCTAAGTAGTTATCCCAAAAATCTGAAAGCACTGACTCAAAGAGATACCCCATGTTCACTGCAACCAAGAGATGGAAACAATCTAAGGACCCATCAGTGGATGATTGGATTAAGTAGTGATATTTACATAGAGTGGAACACTACTCAGTCATTAAAAAATGAATGAAATCCTGCCATTTGTGATGATATGGATGGACCTTGAAGGCATTATGCCAAGTGAAATAAGTCGGACAGAGAAAGACAAACACCATATGATCTTACTCCTATACGGTAGATAAAGAAACAAATGAATGAACAAAATAAAACAAAAACAAACTTTTAGACTCTAAGACAAAATGGTGGTTACCAGAAGGGAAGAAGAGGGAGTGTGTAATTTGGGTAAAAGTGCCAACTGCATAATCAAAACCACACTGAGATACCACCTTACACCAGTAAGAATGGCACATATCAAAAAAACAAGCAACAACAAATGTTGGCGAGGATGTGGTGAAAAAGGAACTCTCCTGCATTGTTGGTGGGAGTGCAAACTGGTCCAACCACTATGGAAAGCTCTGTGGAGTCTCCTCAGTCTACTAAAAATGGAGCTACCATACGACCCCGACCCCGACCCCGGCAATTCCATTCCTGGGGATCTACCCAAAGGACACAAAAACATTGATTCAAAAGACCACCTGTGCCCCTATGTTTATTGCAGCACTCAGAGGGAGGGAGGGAGGAGCACAGGGGACTGAGGTGATTGTGCACGGGCGCATTGGGGAAGGAAACTCTATGGGACTACACCTGAGGGGTGGGGGGAAGCAAATATTATCTAAAAGAAATGTAAAAAATGATAAATGTTAAAATAAAAAAAAAGAAGAAAAGAAAAAAAGCCAACTGCATGGTAATGGATGGAAACTAGACGTTTAGTGGTGAACATATATACAGATGGTGATTTATAGGTTGTTCACCTGAAACCTATATCATGTTATAACCCATTGTTACTTCAATAAAAGTAAATAATACATGGAGGATATTAGTCAGGACATTTCATGCAAACTGTTTTAACAAATAGCCTCAGCATCTCAGTAACTTAACACAACATCACACAACTCTGTGCATTGGCAGGAGCTTCTGCGCCATGTAATCATTATGAGATCCAGGTTTACTCAGAGTCTTCTACTGAAATCCTCTACTGGATTGACTGGATGTCAATCAACAAGCAAGAGAAGCATCATGGAGGACTGCAAGAAACATTTTTATGACCTGGCCCCAAAATCATGAACCTCACTTTCCCATGTTTCATTGGCTAGAACCAGTTTACACTTTTCCACTTACTTGCATGGGAGGCTGGGAATTGAGAATCCAGGACTGATGAGTATCTAAGAGTCTCTACCCCCATGGAGGAGCCAAAGGACAATGCAACTGACCCCACCGGGTTGAGTGTATTGGGAATGGCAGGGAAGTGAGCAGTGGAAGGGCATCCCCAGCCGAGAGAACTGCACGTGCAAGAACTGTAAGATCATTTATCTAAAAATGCTTTGCAATAAATCCTATAAATCCCAGTGATTATGGCTGAATAATTTCCTAAGAAATAAAGGGAGAGAGGGCATCTGAGGTCAGATTGCCCAGAATAGACTCAGAGCTGGGTATTCTCAGGTATGTGATTTATTAAGGAGATACTTTCAGTAAGACAGTGAGAGTGGGAAAACAGAGAAGGAAGGGGGGGGGGTCACTCGAGGCTGTAAGCTGGGGCAAAGGCCCCACCTGATCTCCCACAGAAATGGCAGGACACATCAGCCCACAGAGTTCATGTAGACTCCAGACCCGGGCACTGTGCTTTCATACTCTGGTAGCAGCCAGTCACTGGAGCAAAGCGGAGGAGAATACCGTCTTTTGGCACCTGTGGAAGCAGTGCCAGTCCTGGGCAACCCTATAAAGAGAGTGTGGGCATGGGCCAATAGGCACAGAAAACACAAAAAGCTGGGGGAGAGAGTCAGAGAAACAGGCAGAGGGATCCTGGTGATCTGGGCAGAGCAAGGACACACTGGATGCAGACAGCAGAAGGCCAATAAGTAATGAAGACAATATCCTCAGGGTCTCTCTAACTGGAGGCAGGTGGAATTTGGGATGCAGAACTTGAGCCTCCAACCTGACTCTGCATGTGGGTAACTCTCCAAGGCCAGCACCCTTGTCTATAAAATAAGGATGAGAACATTAATTTGGAGGGTGTCCTAAAGAATAGAGATGGGTCCTGGGATACACTGCAGGGGCCTGGAATACATTCAATAAATGATTCCCATCCCTGTTGCTTGGCTCCTTGTCTTCATACCCCTGAACCTCGGTGTTCTCTAGCAGTGTTATCAGCACAGATTGTGAGAGGAATATTTAGTCTGTGTGCCGGCACATGATCCGATTCCCACCCACTTCCTCAGTCCTGAGGCCCCAGAAGGAGAGGGAATGGAGGAGGGAGTAGTTCCCTCTAGAGACAAAAAGTCTGCCCCATAATTTACTTTCCCACACAGCGACTTGAAGATCTCCCATTTCCACGATGTCAGAACTAGAAGGTACCTTGCAGCGTCATTTGGGGCAATTTATCTAATGGATGGAGAAACTAAGGCCCAGAGAAAAAGAAGGAATTTTCCCAAGATCTTGAAGGCCCCAAAACAGGACTAGCTAATCAGTTTCACCTCATGTGCCAACTCTGGTCAGTTACTTGTACGGCATATAAGAGTTCTGGGACTTTATCTGGGTTCAATGGAAAGGCAGGTCAGAATTGATTAGTCATGTCTGTCATGGGTGTGGTTCGAGAGTGCCACATAGATATTTATGTTCCTGCCAAAGAGGATGAAATTCTGCTCAGGCCTTCCTCACCATCCCCTAATTTTTCCCTGAAAGGCTTAGCAACATTCAGAGAAGATGGTTCCAAATAAGTTAAAAAGACTCAAGGAGACTAAAAACAAAATATCCAAAATTGTGAAGTAATTTTAAAAAAGCTAGAAGGTGGCAGCTATAGCTCTTGACCATCACCCAGACACCACAATCCTGGAATCCAGTAAGAGGCTCCATTGTGCTGAATTACAGTAGATGTTTGCAGTTTCTATCTCTCTTCCGATTAGGGCCCCAGTTTCTTCTTGTAGAATTTGCTTTTTCCAGTTGCATAGTTTATTGTCTCTGTCCTAACCTGCCACCCACCCCATCCAAGCCTGGAATTTGTATCTTTAAACAGGGAGACTAAGAGACTGGAAGTGTTTGAGGCTCATGCCTCCACCAGTCACAGCTTGCTCACCAGCTCTTCAGGCTCAGTATAAAGAGGCACCCCAATTGCACATCACTGTCATAGTCTGGGTCTCCTGCAAGTTAGTAAGCTCCTTAAGGACAGGGACTCTGTGTTTTCACTGATATGTTTTCCAAAGCTTAGCAAGATCCATGCACATAGTAGACATCCAATCATTTTTGCTCTTCTTAAAAGAATTCATGAAGGCACAAATACAAGAAATTATACAAGTTCTGAATCACATGACAAGATTTAAACAGTGCTGCCTCTCACTAGATTGACCTTGGACAATCTGTTTTGTCTCTGAACCTTAGCTCTCTTGTCTATAAATCAGAGACAAATACCTCCCAGGATTGCTTTTATAAAAAGATGCTTTTTTATATCTTAAGTGATGTACAGAGGGTAATTACTCATTTCTAAGGTAGGGAAGAGGTGGGTAATAGACCTGGATAATACAATTTAAAACTCCACACTAGTAGAAAACTAAGGTCAGGATAAAGCAGGTATTGTCCTTGTTCAAAAACAATTTGTGATTTAATATTTAATATCTATGTCAAGTTGAAATAACAGAGAAACTAATTCAAACATTAAAAGAATCTATTGACTTAATAAACTGGAAAATATTTGGTTGCTGGCTTCAGGCTAGGTTTGATCCAGTAGCTCAATTTATAAGCATCCAAAGATGCAATGCTTAAACCCTAATTGGTAGTCCATTTACTGAGCACATGGTAAGAATATAGGACATTTCCATTGAAAAATTTTATTTGCCCTTAATCTGACATGTTGATCAAATACAAATTTTGATGATTCAGGCATTAGAGTCTTTGTTTGCATACAGCAGAAACTAACTTAAGCAAGAGGAATTCTTTGGAAGGAATTGATGATGGCAGGCCCAGGTCCTAAGATCCAAGGGAAAACACGGAGGAATTTCAATAGGAGATTGACGTGCTTCAATTTATATTTTAGAAAAATCCCTCTGACAACAGCCCGTAAGAATGATGGAAGGGAGAAACAGGGGGTAAAAGGAGAATGGATATAAGACTGTAGCTGTGGTCCTGATCAGGGGTAAATGAGACCAGGCTAGGTCAGTAGTAAAGAAGTGTGAGGACATAAGAAAAGGTAATAAAAGGGGAATTAACAGCATATGGAGATAGATTGGATGTGGGGAAACCTGGCAACAACACCATTCACTGAATGGGGAATGTCCAGAGGATGGTTTCACCCCACCAGGTCTGGAGTCAGAGGTGGTACAGCCCTCATTTGTCCTGCAGAAAGCCTAGGCCAGGCAGTCTGCCCAGGGAGCCGGCCAGAGAGGGATGGGCTAGGAAAGGGTGGCCAGTTTGGTATCAGACGTCAGGGTCATTCCAAACCCTTTTGTGTACAGAGATGGCCCTCCAGAGCCAAGTTCTGTGATGCTCTCTGCTTCTGGCTTCCCGCCACGGGCATCATCTGTAGAAAATATTCAAAGATGTAAACATGATGATTTCATCAAGGTCCACATGTCAGGGGACTCATGTGCAGGCGATGGCAGCCCATCAAACCGTGGAAATTCTGACCCAGGAGGTTCAGACACAACAATGTGGAGGCTTCCCTCCCCCGCATCTCCCCTGGCCTGCGCCCAGTTCTCTAACGTGGTTAATTAATGTAATGAATTATGACAAACGTATATGGCGCCTCTGATTTGCTGACAGCTGATACAAACAGAGGCGGTGGCCAAGAATCCCAGTGCGTACATTACACACACACATACACATACACACACACACACATACCCCACAACTCCACCAAAAATAGCTTGCAACTGGGTTTGTAATTCAGTGACTTTTCCATCTGTACCGGAGCATGGCAAGAAGGGGTTGCTGCAGCTAAGGGTAAAGGGTTGAAAATATGTTGCTCCTTTTTTTGTTAGTATTATAATGACCACTTTCTCCTCACCACTGCCTCTCCCTGTGACATACATTCATTGCTTACCGTTAACCAACTCTGCATGGAAGGAAGGAAGGAAGGAAGTCACATTCATTGAGGTCCTACTATGTGCCAAGGGCTTTATACACTACAACAGAACTCTTTAGTGCAAGCAACAGAACCCCAACTGGATCACTTAGGATAAAACAAAACGGGGAGGGATGTAAAAGGAATGTGGAAATATGTCATATAATCAAACAGAAATTGAATACTCAAACCATAGGAAGAGCAGGGAAGTCACTAGAACCAGTGATCTTGTTAACAGACAGGGTGAGGGGCTCCCCAGGAACCTCAAACCTGCTTGTTCTAAAAAGGTTCTGCCATCCGCTGCATTAACACAAAACATACTCTAGTGTAGAGGACCTTCAATAGAAAAAGAACTTTAATACAATTAATGTGCCATGGAGAGAAGAGAAAGAATATAGTTAAAAGTTTCCCTGTGAAACACCCGAAGTTCCCCACCCGCTTGTGAGTAAATGCCCAACCAAACGGGGTCAGCCCAAAGCAGGGCCACTGAGGCCCAAAAGCTAACCGCAAGTCCAGGAAAGGGGCAGAGGGGGACTGGCAAGCTTATAAGGAAAAGAGCACAATCAAAATCCAAGTCAAGATAAAGGCTGCCATTGTCAGCCTCCCCGCGGGTCTCTTACCCACATCTCTGTCTCTTAATAGTGTCTCCTTCCTTGTCCCCCAAGTCCCTGGCACAAGTCCAGTGCGGAGAAGTAAGCACAGCTTCTTCTTCACATGTGCCTCCTCCAGGTCTTCTTCCTGTCTCTCCCTTCTTCCTTCCTCCTCGGCTTCTCCCAGTCTTTTCTAGCTTCTCGTCCCTGCTCAGCTCCCCACTACCTTCGGTGGGGCAAGGAACCTGGAACCTCCCCTTTGTGTGGATATCACACTGTTTCAAGCTGAGTTTTCTCTCTCTCCCCATCTTGATCTATCTATCCTTAGGGGATTCTCATTTTCCATGGATTCTGTATTTGTGAATTTCTTTACTTGCTAAGGTTTATTTGTAACCCCCAAATCAATATTTGTGGCATTTTTGTGGTCACTCATGGCCATGCACAGAGGGGTGAAAAATTTGAGCTTTCTGATGCACATCAACCCAGCTCAGGTGGAACAAGTCACACTCTGCTTTCAACACTTACTGCAATAAGTGTCTTTTCCACTGTCTATTCGGTGCTACTTTTTTTTTTCATTTTAATGTTTTGTGTTGCAGATTTCACTCTTGAAAATGGCCCCAAGCATAGCGCTGAAGTGCTGTCTAACAATTCCTAGGTGCAAAAGGGCTGTGATATACCTTTCGGGAGAAAACACGTGTGTTAGATCAACTTCGTTTAGGCCTGAGTTACAGTGCTGCTGGCCAGGCGTTTAATGTTAGTGAATTAAAAATACCACTTAAATAAGGTGTCTTTGACCAGAAACAGCATAAAAATATGTACAGTCACTTAACAAAGGGGATAGGCTCTGAGCGATGTGTTGTTAGGCAATTTTGTCGTTATTCAAACGTCATGGGGTGTAATCACACAGACCTCCACAGTCTAGCCTGCTGCACACTAGCCTGGTCTAGTCTACCTGGACCACCGCCACGCGTGCAGCCCATCCGTGAGGGAAACGTCAAGCGGTGCATGACTGTATCAATAGGTTGATGCAAATGTTGTAACCAGAGGCTCACAGGAGCCTTAGCCTGTATTTCCCCTAGGAACAATGGTTCAGTCTTCATAAATTCAGCTTGTGTTGATTTTGTAGAACAAAACGACTACGGAAAATGAGAGTCGTCCTATTTCTCCTTCTCTTTGCCTTCCTCTCTTACCCCAGCTCAGAGTCCTTAGCAGGGCAAGGAACCAGTTAACCACGGCCAAGTCTCATTACTTATGAAGAGAAGAGAGAGGGGCTCTTCACGGTTTGAAAAACCCTAAGGGACAACCTGGGACTGACTGAATGTGGTGGAAGTAAGGAAGGTCACATTTGTCCATCGCATCTCCCAGGGAGACCACATACAAGGCCAAAGTAGTCATTCCCAAGGGACTAGAAGTCTGTTCTCATATGATAGAGAAAGCTGACTGAGCAGACAAACGTATCACACACATACACACGGAATTCTCATGGCACAAGTCATACCAGAGCCACGAAGCACCTGTAACATTGCCAACTGCTTGTCCTAAAATGAACCTTCTTTTCATTTATTTAAGAGCATTTTAAAGGGAATCTTATATTTCTGCCAGATATATAGAAATTGATCATCAAAACGAACTCAAAACTGTTAAACAGCATAATAAATGTAAATCCAGGAACCATATAAAATCCCCTCACCTGAAACTGACCCTTTGTTTAGAAACATAGATTTTTGTTTTGGTATCTGTCCTGGAATGGGAGCCCTGCTCAGAGGCACATGTTTCTCATGCACTTCAGCCCAGGCACTGCCTGGCACAGGGCACTCAATAAATATTTTATACCTGGCCTCTCCCTCCCAGGTGCATTTGGAGAGGGGACTGATGAAAGAAGAGGAAGCCTCAGGAGGAGAGGAAGGACAGAGGGAGGCAGAGAGAGGGGGAAGGAGTACTGTCAAACTTGGCTGAACCCTCTCTGACCTAACATCTCAACACTAGATGGCCCATGCACTTACTGGCCCCCTACCCAAAGCATGCACCTCTTTCCTCAGCATATTTTTCTGAATTGTCTCCTCTTCTGGAAATGCTCTTTCCTTTCTCTTCATGACTCATTCTTCAATTTCTACCTCCTCTCCTGTATCAGTTGGGAAACTTTCATTAACATGTTACAGAAGACACAACTGAAAGAAATTTAAATGCAAGAACATTAAGTCTCGAGGCAGGGAGACCCCATAGACCTTAATTCAACAATGACATCAAGAATCAGGTACAGGGCCTCCCCAGTGGCACAGTGGTTGAGCGCTGGGTTGCGAAGCTGCCCACAGCCTCTGCAGTGCCAGTTCCATCCCTAGCTGCTCCCCAGCCACTGAAGGAGGGTCCCGCATGGCACGCAGACCTCTCCTGCCGCCCGCTGCTCCCTCAGCAGTGTACTTCGGTCCTTCTGTCTGCTCTGCTCCCCGCTCTGGCTCTGGTGACTTCTCTCACCCTCCCGCACTTCTGACTGTACCCAGTGCTTGTATAAATAAATAAATAAATCTTTAAAAAAAAAAAAATCAGGTACCTTCCATCTCTTGCTCTGCCATCCTCAGTACTACAGCCTCGTGATTGCAAGATGGCTACAACAGCTCCAATCATCATATCTTCTCCAAGTCTAGATTTGGCACAAGGAGCATATTTGTTTTTAAGCATTAAATAACTTTCCTAGGATACCACCACTAACTTCTCTTGGTAGCTACTTGGTCAGAAAAGTCACTTGCCCCATCTGAAACCAGTCACCAGCAAGGGGGATACAATTAGCATGATTGGCTTTGATGAATCAAGATTCACCCCTTAAAGAGATGGATGGAGTAGGCTTCTCTGAAGTACTTAAATGTCACATAGTGGAGCAGGGAACCTGAATCAAATCTATGTTCTGTGCTGAAAAGTCGGTTGCATTCTTTTAAATACTTCCCCTTTATATACCTACCCCTGAGTCCACTTGGATAAAATTCCTCTTTGATCCACAAGAAGCCCTGTGTCTAATGGTTCAAGTGTGTCCAGTCGTGTCTCCCCTTCAGACTCTTTTGCACAAAGACCACTCCATACCCTCTATCTCCTTTGTCTAGACTTGTTGAGTTGTTCTACCCTTATCACAACACAGTATAATTTATAATTTATCTGATTCTGAGTCTGTCTTTGTCACTAAGCTGTAAGATTCCCTCTGGGATAGATCTAGGGGCTTGGTCTGCCTAACAAGGTGCCGGGGTGCCCGGTGAATGCTAGTTACATTGAATTTACTGAATTGAATGGTGAGGGCAAAGGGGAGGAGTAGCAGGAGAGAGAGGAGCAGAGGAAGGAGAGAATAGGACAAAGCAGTCAATAAAATACAGGCTTTGGTTGCAGACAAAACATAAGATGCCTGGGAGAGCCAATTCACTAACTGGGATGGAGGCTCTATTGTGGGAAATAATCATTTGTTAGCTTAAATAAACCCTTTTACCTCAATTACTTGTAATAGAATACAAAGGTATTGACTCAGCCTGGGGAGGAAGGCAGGAGCTCAAACCCAACACCACTTCACTAGCAGAAACTAATTGCCCCAAGGCTTAGGTCAAAGGTTATTGCAGGATTAAAATTGACAGTGAAAACAATAGCAAGGCCTTGACTCCTGAATTAGCTAATTGCTCCTCTCTTCTGCCTGCTGGCCAGGGCTGGGTTTCTAATGGACCTGCCCCTTTGGCTGGCGGATCCCTTGGTCCAAAAAGTTGCTATTTGCAACCCTCCCTGGCTAACCTGAGCCTTCATTATACTGGACCCTACTCCAGAAAGTCTGGAGCTAAAGAAAGCGTGTGTGTTGTGGAGTTGGGGAGAGTAGGAGAGAAGGGAGTTGAAGCAACTTGGGGGAGCTGATTAATGTCTTCAAAAGAAGCAAGAGTTATAGGAGCATTCACTATGTCCCAGGCATGGGGCTAGAGTTTTATAGGAATTTTTTTTTTTTAATCTTCAGTGAGTCCTGGCCTTCTCCACCAAAATGAACCCAGGTTCTGGGGAAAGAGCTGGTCCCGGGCAGGGGATGAGAAATACAAGATGAACCAGAATATCCTGTCACCAAAGAATACATCAGAAGGCCGGGCAATGACAAAAGGACATCAGAGTCACCTAGAGGAGACCACACTGCCTGAAGGTGGAAAAATCTGACCTTCAAAACTAATAATAATAATAATAATGACTGTCACAGCTTGAGAGATATTAAGTGATTTTTTAAAATTCCTATAGTACTGAAAAAATGCAGTGGTCATTTTGGAGGATGTTAACTATTCTGAAAACCAGGCAATAAAGAGACTCAGACACTTGTCATTCCTGAATGAACTATATCTTAGGGTACCTGAATAGCTGATGGAGGAAAGTTCTTGTTTATGGAAGAACCCCAGCTGATAAACAGAAGAAATGACAGAGTTAGAAAATCACCATTTTGTCAACCTCCTGAAAGAGAGCCTGGCTGCTCAACCTCAGCCCAATTGATATTCAGGACCAAATAATTCTTTGTCTTGAGGCTTGTCCTGTACATTGTAAGGTGCTTAGCAGCACCCTTACATGCTACCTGCTGGATGCGGTGGCAGTCTCCACCCCAGTCCACTACAAACAAAAGTGCCCCTGGGGTACAAAATCACCCAGGTTGGGAACCACTGTTAAGTGGAAGCTGATAAGGAAAGAAACCACAACCTGACTGGAAAGCCACCCCAGAGGTGCTTGGGACATGATTAGCAGCCACTACCACTATCACTGTACATCAGCCCAGCCCCTGGCCTCCCCAACCAAACAGAAACTCAAGGCGAGTCTGCTAATAGCATACCCTACCCCATTTTTGCTAACCAAGTTGTCACTCTTAGATGGAATTCATAAATCCTTCTCTAGCCCCATTTCTGGATTTTTCTAGAGACTGTTTCCTCTCTTAACCAAGTCTTTGCCCATCTGCTGCTTCTACTAGAAGGCTTCACCCACTTCAGTTCCTACCAGTACTTCCTCATTCTTCAGGTCCCAGCTTCCATCACTCTTCCTCCAGGAAGTCTTCTCTGATTTCCCTTTGTACCCTCTTCATGCAGGTCCAGCCTGTCATCATATTAACTGTCATGGGGTTCATGGGGGCAGACACTGTCAGATTCCTTGTTTAATCGCTAGAGAACCCAGGATAGAGTAGGCACCCAGAAAATGCTGCAATCAGGAAGGAAGGAGGAAGGAGGGATGTAGGGAGGATGATGTTGTGTTATCATAGTGCACATGTGTTCCTTGCTTCATGGCAGAGTTCATGCTCGTGCAGAGCAGGGTGTGTGTGACACGGGTGAGTGTGAAAATGTGGACTGTGGAAGCCATAGCCTTGACCTTCTCACCTTTCTCCCCTCCCAGTTTCACCTCTCATCACTCCACCTCAAACGTCCTAGCTCCTGTAATGAGGCACTTCTCTAAACCTTTGCATGTTTTTGCCCCTCTTTGCCTTTGTATTTGCTGTTCCCTCTGCCTGGGCTGTCTTTCCTTGCTTCTTCTTTGCAGTTGCATCTCTGTTCTGTCTTCCAGAGTCTCCCAAGCCGTCTCATATTTGTCAAGTTAATTCCCTCATCTCCCATGCATCCAAAGCTTTTGGGGTTCTGTCTACAGAGCATTGCTCACTGCATTCACCATCACCATGAGCTCCCCAAGAGCTACCTCTTGGAACACCCCTAGAGATGGTCTTAGTTGCCATGTTGGGGTACTTCTGTGCTCCCACAAGCATCTAGTGCCAGGCATGTTTCTGGATTGAGATTACACATCTCTGTGTGAGTACAGAGCACACAGATTCAAGTAATAGACTAGAGCAGTGTCTTCACGTTTTTACTCATGGACCCCTTTAAATAATTTTGTGAATTTTATCTTTTCTGTCAGTTCCATGCCTTATGCAATTACGTTCCCCTAAATCTAATAAATACACACTGAGAATGAACAAACGAGTGGTGACAAGTGACAGCAAATAAGAGCTTTACACCCAAGTAAGAAATGAATGGGGATTCACAGTAACCAATAATCCTTTTTGCCAAAAGTAAATGAAAACATTTCCCCTATAAGTCTGAATAAATGTTCAAGAAAATATAAAACACTAACTTCCTCCCTCATGCAGGATGGCCGACTCAAAGATTGCTCATAGAAAGTAAATCAGGAACATCTCGCCTCTTCTTCCTTGAAATTGGGCAAAATACTCCATGGTGTCCTGGACCAAGGAAGGGAAGGATGAGAAAATGCACTGGCTTCTTGCTCATCACTGGTGACCACAGAGAAGGAAGTGCTTCACCTACATGGAATTTCCCAGAATGCTTTCTGCAAATCTTAAATATTTTCATTTTAAGATGTTTTGGTAGTTAGATAGGTAGACAGACAAATAGACTGCTTAGCCATGAGCTTGCACCCTCTGAATAAAATGTTCCTCCCATCATTAATATTTCTCTTACTTTCACAAGTCCCCTTCCTTGGCGGTGAATGAATTCCAGGACAGTGTGTGGGGAATAAAAGAGACTAAATCAGTTAAAGATCCCACTATACAATATACCTGAATTCAGAAAAACCCAAGCTGGACATAAGCCGGATCATGTGTTGTCCTTACAGAACAGACAGCTATTAAGACTGGGAAGAGCATATGATCTTCCTGAAGATTCGTGGTGTTGTGATTCAAGCAAGCTCCCACACTAGTGTCATCCTGTCCTTCTACAATCTGGAGCTTTCTATCCCCCAGGCAATGCCTACTGTGAGATGTGGGGAGGGTGACAGGTGTGCCTTTCTATTATAATGTACAGGAAGAGCTTTGGGCAAAGGGTGGCAGGGAGGGGAGCCACTGCCACAGGGGCTTTCTCCAGCTGATCAGGTTGGGAAAGAACAACTGGGAAAGTTGCACATCGAGTCCTGTAGGATGACTGGACTCTCAGACCTCTTGGAAAACCTCACCCAGCCTGGGTATACATGTCTCAGGTGTGAAGGCCCTGGATAGACGCACATCTCCCATAGGAACAGGATACCATGAGGGTGGGGAAAATACAGATAGGAGAAAGGTACAGACCAGAGGTTCTTGGAGTGTGGCCTCTGAACCAGCAGCACAAATACCCCCCAGGAGCTTTCCTTGGGCCCATTCTACACCTGTGGAAGCAGAACCTGTAGGGTTGAGGCCCAGCACCCTATAAGTTAACAAGCATTCCTGGGGACTCTGATGCCCACCCAAGCAGAAAACCATGGGATGACACTTTTTTTACCTTCATCCCTTTCTCCTGGTAGAAACACCTCTATATTCCTTTCTGACCCCTCCCACCCTACTTTCAGACCTTATATTTGGGTAGAACTGGCTAGTGCCTCCCCAGTCCTACTTCCAGGGACTGGCCCATGACCTTGACCTTAAACTATTTTGTCTCCCTGATCACAGCAATTTGTTCAAAGTGTGTGGATTAAGCCTATCAGAGTCAGCTCTGGGACTTAAACTGAAAACTCTGGGAAAGATATGTTAAGCTAATAAGATATAAAACTGGAACTATAGGGAAATCCTTGCTGAGAATGGCACAACATAGCAGAAAGGGAGAGGAGAGGAGACTAACACCTGGATCCAGCTTTATCTGATTCCAAAGGTCTGTGCATTTTTCTCTTACACAAGCCAA